TCCTGCTTGTCAGTCCTCACAGCTTCAAAACACTCCCTCAAGCAGTACTTTTCCAAATAAAATGCTTTGGAAGGAACACAAGGTCCAATGGTCAAAAAGGGCCACTCCAACCCGCCCTGAGAGATCACCCGCTGTCAGCTCTGCCTTGGCACTCCGGCCTCACAGAATTCGTAACACAAGACAGTTCTGCACACCTGCGGAGCAGCTAGAGACAAAGAGGAATAGGGAAATGGGAGACTAGCTTTACAGGCATCGAAAGCTTTCACATTTACTTTTTGACTCCAGTCTTTCTTCTGACCTTGGCATAGCTCACCGGTTCCTAGAATTCTCTTGAGTTTATGTTCTATTTGGACTTTAAATAATTACTGAATCTGACCTCTGCCCCACTGTCTCCCTCTACAAAGCATCAGTTTGATTTAGTCACAGTTTTGAGTGGAGATACCGCCAGTCATTAGCCATGTAGTCACTGGTGAGCCCTGTCCTGTATATTTAATCTTGAGCGTTTTTTGACTTGGCAGAAGAGATCTCCCTATTGTACTCCATTGGCTGGCAGAAAAATAACTCTTCTATCAGAAATCCTGCACTAGCCTAACTGCAAGCCTCAGTTCTCTCTGGAGAAAAACTCAGACTGCAAGCTTCTGATGCTCATCAGAGCCAGCTTCTGCGATGGGGAAAAGACAATGAGCTACAATAATGTAACCCCAGTCTTCCCTCTTAACACAATCTGTCACTTTTCCTCCTGCACATCATGAGTACCTTGGCTGCTGGTTTAGGGAACCTCTCTTGGTAAAACTCCCAGATCTTTCATGGGTATTATGTAAAATCTAGAAAAAAGAGCAGCAGCCAAGCTATCAGTACGTTTTTTCCTCAGCATGCTAGCAACAGCCAATGTGCGCTCACATTTTAGTAACAAAGTACAGAATAAGTCACAAGAACATGAGGCTACTGGTGGTGTAGGACAGGACTGCAATTCTTTACCTGTGCCTCTTCAAGCAGCAAGGAAATAAAGTCAACGTTTCACTCCACCATAGCCAGGCCAGCTTAGAGAGCAGATGCTCTCATCCCTGTTCAGAGGCACTAACCCCTGCGCCGGACTGTGCACCGTTATTTCAGGACAGGAGTGGTTAAACTCTAACAGCCTGCAGATGGCTCTGAACAAGGAAGGAAAAGGCAAGCCCGTACCTAGGGGCCCCACTAGCCTAAGAGCGTTTTATTTCCACCTCTGTGCAAGACTTAGTGGGTCTTAGTTGGAGCTAGTGCTAATGGAGCTGCCCAGAGACAAGGTCCCTAATGTGTACACGTGGACAGAGCTATGGTGCCACCAGTCCTCACGGTCGCTCTGCGTTCACACGAGCTGCGCAGCATCCCACCCACTCAGGCAGGTATGGTCAAACTTTGTGTTATCTGCCTAAGGTCCGTAAAGACACAGTCCAGTGACACCCACACTGCCATGGCCAAAGCGTGGATAGGTATATCCACACCAGCTTCACTTCAGCCAGTACAGGAGACATGGTTGTAAGAGCAGCAGCACCACAGACTTCATCGGGATTCTCAACTTCAGTACATTCCCAGGGTCTGCAGCAGGCCAACACAGCCCACAGTGAAATCTCCTCTGCATCATCTTCACAGAGAAATGACAGACTACCAAGGTGCGCTGCTCTTTCCTCTTCAACTGCATCTAAACAATCTGAGTCGAACTCCCACACTCACCTCCATCAGAAGAGAGGCAGATGGTCCTGCCTACCTTCCCCTCTTCTACTGCACCTCCCTTCCTTCTAGGATGGTGTCCTACCAACCACAGTGACCATCTGCAAAGGTCCACAGGAACCAAAGAATGCACGGAAAGACAGAGAGAGTCCCTTATGATTTCTAGTTTCCTGAATCAACCGTACTTTTAAGTCCGCTAATTCTTTTAGAAACAAATCTCAGATAAGCTAGTTCTGTGGATTTCTTGACCAGCCACTGTAGCTGATCAAAAAATACAACCCATCACTTCACTGTGATGGAAAGCACTGAAATGCCACAAGATGGCTGTTTCATGGTGCCTGTTACAGTGTCTTGCTAAGAACCGGTCGTCTTACTTGTCTGCATTGACCAAAACCACATGTATGTTCAATATGCCAAGGTCTCTCTCAGAGACACTAGAGGTATGCCAAATCCCAGCTACTTCTGCTCCATTCTTTCTCTGGGCACAAGTACCACAAAACAGCCTTAACTTTTCCCCACACTGTGACTGCAAAGAGCAGATGACCCATCTGGACGTACAGACTGCGCTCGGTGTGATATGGTGTTTGTAACAGGAGCTGCACAGACTCCCTGTGCCAGGGAGAGAAAAATGTTTTAAACATCATCGGTCCACCTGAGCAGCCTACATGATTCCCCACTCAGCTGACAACGTTTCCTTTCTGCAGGCTTGCGTGGGGGAGGACAGATCTGAATGCTGCAGCCAGACCCTCTGCAACTTCCTCCCGGGTTACAGGCGATGCAATCCAGCAGAAGCCTCTGGTACAAACATTTGCTTCAGCAGCCTGAGAACCCAATGCTCCCTCTGAGGGTAGCAGTCTCCCATACAGAGGAGCACTTTTTACCTTCTAAGCCAATTCTCTGTACGGTTGGAGGTAAAACAATTACCTCATTACAGTCGCACACCAAATTCCCTTCTGGTGGAATTCACATCAGCACTACTGCAACTTTATAACATCTGCATTATAAAAATGTCTGCAAAGGAGGCCAAGAAAAACAGCTTTTTGTTCAGAGGAAGCTCTGTGGTCAAGATGATGTCATCAGAAAGCGCCAAATTAATTTCCTGTGGTTACATCCTACAGGAAATCCAAGAAGCTCAGCTTTCTTGCTAAACCAAGTAGTCATTTGTTGTCAATAACTGTTAATTATGTGCCCAGATGTGTCATAAACTAAGAACTATCACCATGAGCCTTCATTCCCCGGATTCCTCCCAGACTGACCGTTGGGATCTGTTTAGATCAGCAGCCTGAATCCAGTGAACTGCACCAGCACTTGTGTCGCTGGGCCAGCCCAGGGACTCTGGGGTGCACGGGCTGCCGCGCTCGTGCCACACACCAGCACGGAGAGTTTCCTGCTATTTCCTCCAGCCCCCTCCCACAACGGGGGGATCTGCTGCTTAAAGAAATGCCGGAGGAGCAGCTACGTAGATTAGACTCTTTGCAGGAAGAGGGACCCCTGATCAATAGAACTATAAAAGCAATGATAAGTAACACCTTTTCTGCTGTGCACAAAGAGAAACATGGGAATCAGGAGGGATGCAGGAGGTTTTTCAGCTGGTAAAATAATCATGAAAATGTCTAGCAGGTTCCTCCCCCAGTCACAGTCCTTCCACAACCTACTGAAAGACACATCTCTCCAAGGCTCACTTGATATTTAAATTGTAAAATAACACTTCAGTAAAGCACTTAGCTAATTCAAATGGATCTTTTCAACGACTTATCAGTGGGAAACTAATCTTCCCCAGTTTTTAGATCTCCCCAAAACTTGTGTTTACATGAATTCACACCTGCCCTGCTGCCTCTAGCCACCCCCTTCACCTGCCACGCAATCCACAAGCCCTCCATTTTCTCACAGTAGACTGGGGAATAGCTTTTGTATCTGTAACTTGCACTAAAATTATGATTCTGTCCTTACAGTGAACTTTCAGTAGAAATCTCTTGGGACAGACTCTTCAGTCCATGCAGCACGCTTCCCTGGACTGGCAGGGAGCCCAGCATAACACCTCGAGAGCTGAATGGTAAGTGGTCAAGGCAAATCATATCCAGTCCAAGCAACTCCTACGCTTTACACAACGTTGTATTTCCAGGTTTGCGTGGATTCTTTTTCTTTTCACTACTTTTTAAACAAAGTGTATTTTATGTGAACAGTTGGGACAGGGAGCTAGCTCATTACTTGTCTGGAAAAGGCACAACATAGGATGCACTCTCATAGAGCTCCAATCGGTAGTGCCTGTATGACAGGGAAAACAAGAGCTGATGATGGGCAGGCTCCACTGCAGAGATGTCATACTGACACCTACTCAGCAGTACCTTCTGCTCGCAGACCTCCGAGCCTGTGCGCTGTGGGCAAGATGGACAGGAAGGGAGAGAGGGGCAGAATGACCTGCTCAGAGCCACATGGAGACAGAGGCAGGGGGAGGCATAAGGACAAACCAAACATCCTGCCATTTGCACTCACATGCTGTATCTACTGGCACGATTTCCTTAACAAAAGGCAAGTGAACGGCTGGGAAGAGAAATCACATAGCTTCCAAATTCTCAGAACAACGGGGCAGACAGACAAGGCTTCGTGACACGTTCATAGCTCTCTAGAAAACCACACAGTGCTGACTCCCAATTCGGTCTTTTTAATAAGCTTCCTACCTCTCTGTCCTTGAGTTTCATGGCGAGCACCAGCTGATGTCTGTGGTTAGTAAGGGCCTCCCGGTAATTTCCTTTGGAGAAGAATGCGGATCGGCATTCTCCCGTCTGGTCACCTGAGTCACATGCAAACAAAACAAAGGTTAGCGAACAAAGGCGTCACTGGAAGCATCCAGCAGAAAGACTGGAACACGCTGTACGAAGTGATGCTCCAGTGTGAGAACCAGCATCAGAACAAACTCAACTTTATGTTTAATACACAGATGAAACTCTCGTCTTTGCTGGCCTTCAAAAACTTCCACAATACCCACCAACCTTATTTTTAGAATTGTTTTAATTTCTTCCTTGGCCTAACACTTGGCAATTTCCCATTCTTCCATGTTTATTCCTTGCTTGATGTTAGCAATCAGTCAATGGCCCAGGCTTCAAACAAGTAAGGAGCATGCCAGCTTTCTCCAGAAAGCAATTCTGCAGCACAGCTCAGCTCAGACACAAAGCACCTCTACTATTCTCTTCAAGACCGTAGTCGCTATACTTTCACTGAACTCTCCTAGCTAGAGCCCTCAGTCGCTATCTTCTCCACCTCTGCAAGGTTATGCCTTACTGTCTCCTCTCCTACAGCACCCTGAAAGCTTGAAAGCTCTCAGTGTTGTGCAGGATATACAGTACACAAGAGGGATTTTCCCAATTTATTTATTTTTCAAACTCTCTTGTTCATCCATTGTCTTACTCCTGATTTGTTCCTTCCCTGGCAACTGCCTCAGAAGCTCAGAGTACCTTTTTCCATCAAATTCTTGAAAAAAAACAGATCGCTTCATTTCAGATTCATTTAAGGCTTTGAGCCCAAGTCTACACGAGGGATAAGACCAGTTCCCACATACACGACACCAGAAAATTAGAGGACCCTGTAAAACCTTAGCACATTCATTGATCATTTGCCCCCTCACGCACATAGGCAAACAGGGCTGCACAAGCCTGTAGTGTGCACGTTTCAGAAGTTTCAGATTTGATTTAGCAGCTTGTGAAATCCCACAGAAACCTGAGCATTATACAGAGATGCTGACCATTAATACAGCTATTAATTTGTTCCATCTGTACCAATCCAGCACTCAAGCAAGTAAAATGAGAACTCTTACCTAAAGTCTTGGCTACGTCCAAGTCCTGCTGCATGTATCCAGTGCTTTTCTCTGTATTCCCAAGGGACCAGTATGCACTGCTCAGTGCAGAGAACACTGATCCCCGCAGCTTTAGGCTGCAAGTGCCGATCTTCAGGGCAGCCTCCAGCACCACCACAGAGGCCCCATGGTGGCCCGCGGTCAGAAGTTCCTGGCCAATCACAGACACCACAACAAAGGGGCTCTTGTCCAGCTTCATCTTCTGCAGTTGTTGATAGGTGGGCTCCAGGGACTCTGAAATAAAAAAAAACAAAGGCAGAGTTACTCAAATCAAGTTATCTGCATCTAGAAATCACCCTCACAACCCATCTTCATTTTTTGGTAACCAAATGATGCACGAGCTAAGGGTCAGACTGCCCAAATCAAACCAAGATTTATTACGGGAACTCAGGGCTCAAATGCATCATCTAATATCTAGCACATCACGAAAGATCAACTAGCAAACTGATGTTTTCCTTGCAGAAGGCACTTCAGGAAGACAGCATAAGCATGCAGAGCAGTCTCACACTGAGCTCTGAAGACCTAATGGCAGAAGGAATACAGAAAACATGTATACAGTTTTGTAGGAAACTGGAAACGGGCCACCAGCAGTGAATAGGAGCACCGCAGTTTCTGTCCCTTCAGCACAAACCTTCATCTGAACGACTGCAAAATCTGTGTGTGTCCGTATACCACAGCACACAATGTGCGCCAAGAGAGGTGACAAAAACTGCAGAAAGAAGCTGCTCTTTCTTCTGTAGGAGAAGGTGCTTCTGCAGAATAATAGCACTGGACCTGCCAGACTACTTACAACTGGTCTGTTTGCTTCATTCAGATGATAGAACATCTTGGCTGCACGTTTCAATAAGGACATCAATATAACGGGACTCGAATTTGCTGACCAAGTGGCATTTCTTGATTAGATGCTCTCACCTGAATCAACACTACCACAGCAACCTCACTTGCTCCCTGTTTTCATCATTTCTGCCTCTCTACAATGACCAAGTGTATAAACAACAAAAAGGATTTTAACACTTCCCTGAAGATGCAGTGTTAACGCAACGCCAGTTACAAACATCCAATTAGATCCTGGGATTAAATGCAGACGTAAGAGGACACAAATAGGTGCTGTAACATGCCACTACTTATCATGCTTATCACTGCAAGACCAGGTACGAACCCAGTTCCTGTCTTAAGAAGCTTATGATCCTAGCCAGGTAATCCAGGCAAACACAGGGAGAGAGAGGGGTACAGGAGAAAGGAGAAAAAGGAAAACACAACGGAAGTGCTCCTAGTAACCCTAAAGTCCAGTAAAAAAGGGGGAGCCAGCATGGTAATAGAAGGGCAGATATGGATTTCATTACTGCTCTTCTACAACAGCAGATGGTGAGGGAAGAAACATAGCCACAAACAGGCGAAAGATGCAGCAACAGTGACTCAGTTACTGGGAAGGGAGTTTCACCTTCATCTCTACATACTGCGGACCCATGGTCCCTGAACCCCTCAGTGACTGCATTTAATAATCTTTAAATGCCATCCCTTTCTGGTTGCTCCTCTTCTTTCTCTGAATCCAAGCATCCTTGACACTACCACTCTCATCAGTCTATCCATGGCTTCAAACAATCTATTATCCTGGTGGAATCAAGTTACAAGGGACTGGCTTTACACCATAGACAATACCCGGAGAGATCCTCTGTGTCTCTGCTAGACAGCAAGCTCTTGGAAAGGGGACCAGAACAGCACATAACAACTACTCAAGTGCTTGCAGAGTGCCTAGCACAGTGGGATTGAGACTCTGAACAGTCATTACAGTAGTACAGTATATACACACACTCACAAAGTAAAACTAGCACTTTATAAGCAAGGCTGATCTAAAATCTGCCAAATCAGTTAGTGGGAGGATAACAACTGGAAAGCAGCAACACTGGGAAGCACAGTAGGGAGCGGCAATGTGAATATACAGCTGCTGTGCAACAGGACAGTGAGATCATCCAGCCAAATTTGGGGATGGCTACATAGAAACACCTGCATTCTAAGCAACAGCTACAGTACCTTTGGGTACCAAATGAAATTAGGTTCACAAGGTAACTGCTATATAGGACAGAAGCTTCCAGATGAATTAATCTTAGAGGATAGAGAAAAACACTGTAAAAAAGAAAACACCAACAGGGATATTTTTTCATTTCAGTGCTTCTTGGCCCCTAAGCGCTGGGGTCCCCAGCAGCATCTGCTGAGGATGAGAACTGCCATGTTCCCTCCTGGGAAATACCATTAGGACATTGCGACACAAAGCTTGCAAGAAAAACAGAGCAATAGAGAAACAGAGCAAAGAGGAGACTGCCTCCTTCCTCTAGAGAGGATAATCCTGCAAATAGGGACATTAGGAAACAGAAGCAAAATGCTGTACAGCTAATACAGCTTCAAGGTCCACGTGATTTCAACCTTCTTCCTGAATATAAGTGAATTAGCAGAGCAGCCTTTTTTTGCCTTCTGGAACGCTGTGTTTTGAGAGACATTAGTACTGTGAAGTGCTGACGTGCTCTTCTGGGCAAACATTAGCCTGGAGCATTTAAGACTCCCTGTTCCCAATGGCCGAGTCCCAGAGCATTGTGGAAAGTTGCTCCAAGTAATAATAAAGCCAGGGCCACTGCAGCGCACACCTCTACCTGCACTGATACTGGACAAAAGACAAAGGAGCAAAGACCTCATTGGAACTGCTGCACACCAGTCTGATTCACCTCCAGTGCCTCTCGAGCTGGGTATTACCATCTTGCTGTCCTGCTGAATCAGAAGAACGGTTTTTTTGCTCCTCCTCCTACTTTGGGCTCCTTTCTCAGCACCTGCTGACTCAGCAGAGAAGCCAAATCTTGAAGTCTTTCCTGTCAAGCCTCCGGGTTCTCCTCCTCTCAGATGCTGCCAGAGTCACACATGGACTGAAACTACCGCCTCTAAGTACCTTTGCAGCAGACCACCATCCTTGAGAAGATCTGGTGCTTACCTCGCATGGGAGATTTCATGGCGGCCTCGACCATGCCCACCAGAAGCTGAAGACTCTTGGGATCTTGAGCCAGTCCTGATGCAAATGCTGCCAGTGCATCTGCATGACGTCCAAGATACTGAAGGGCCACACCCTGTCGGAAGTATGCCTGAAAAGCCGAAGAGAAGAAATGCCAATTACTTAATTGGTAGAAGTCACAAATAACAGATCTGCCCATGATAAACAGATCTGCTGTTAAATAAATATGCCCATGATAAACAGGTCCGCTGGTGGACACTGGGCTACACGATCACATTCTGTCTTCTTTCGTCATGCTGGCTATAATCAGAAAAATCCAACACCACAGTTTGGTTGGTGATTGCCACCCAGTCGCTGATCCCCTCAAGCGTGATGACTTTCTCATCCTGCGCAAGGCCTCTGAACCATTCTGGAGACCAACAATGGTAATTACTATTAAGGCAAAGCTTTCCCCTTCGACTTGGCTAATTACCTATTCTTATCTATTTATAACCAAACGGTCATTCTCGAGACCTCCATTTCTGCTCTCTTGGCTCATGCAGCATACAAGTAACTTGCTTCCTTTCTCAATAGCTCTTGCCAAGGAGTCCAATATAAACATCTAGTACTAGTAGAGACCAAAATGTACTGAAAGCTTACGTTGCAATGAAACACAATGCAAAGATGCAGACAGGAGCCAAACTTTCTTTCTCCACCCACATCCCCTAATGCAGATACTGCCCAGCACTGTCCCACGTGTTTGGTGCAGTATACATACACATATCTATAATACACATACATATACGTATGTATATGCACTTCTTAGATTTAGGCCAGACATTCATAATTTTGAACATGTTTACAAGAGCATTTTTCTTTGTTTCTTCCTTTCCAAGGAAACCATTCATAGGAATGTGCAGTATCTTCAAAGTAACTTAAATCTCTTGTCACCATATACTTCAATTTCTACACCAGCAACGACACCAACATGCAGCTGCAAAGCATTCCCAAACAAAGCTTCCGCGTCTCCCCAACGTGGGATGCACACCAAGCAAGAACTACAGAAACATGTTCTGCTCACACATAAAGCAATGGCAAAGCCCAAAGGGTATCCAGAACTTCCTTCAGAGCTACTGGTTAAGAGATTACAGAAAACAGAGTCCAATATTTACTCAAAGTACTCAGGTGTATTTGTAGCACATATATCTGGACACTTATAAAAAGGTCTTGAATCTTTACGTGCCTTTGATGCTCATTATTCAGGTTTTATCTTCATGTCCAGCTAATACCTTTCTGATGCAAACTTTGCTGCACTTTTGGTTCATTCAAAGTTATTTCAATAGCACAAATAAAGCTGTCAGAACAAAAGATAAAACATTTGCATTTCTTAAAAAGTGCTTTAAGAACATAATACTGCTCCTTGAGATTGGCTCCTAGTATTGCTTTCATGGATAAGACCTCATCATTATTTCCCTCCATCTATAATAGAAACCTGTGCTCAAGATACTTAAATATACATCTGTGGAAGTCTTTTTACTTAAACAGGATAAATCTCCAATTAATATCTAAACTGGTATTTCATTAGAGCTTCCAGACACTTTTGGAATCCAATCCGGGAAGGCAGAGATTAAGGAAAATCAGAAGTGACATGAGAAATTTATAGACATGAATATTTAATCTCTTTTCCATTAGTAAGCCTTGATTGTAGAACCACTTTTAATGAATTCAATGAAAGCAAAATTCTTTTCATTAACCTTTAGTATAAATGTGTTCTTACTGAACCAAATAAGCTACCGTACTGGAAACCCTCTTCAATGTTAATTAGATTACTAGCATGAAGCTTTAAATCAAAGAAAATACAAAGAACTAACAATGTGCAGTGGCCATCAAGCATGAGTCCTCCCAGCAGTGAGTGAGCTGTCACCTAAATCACGGCATACACTTTTAAGTTCTTTTTTCCCCCCCAGAATTATCATTTAATTACTTTCTTTACCACCTGATGACAGAAGCAGTTTGATGCAGCATGTCTCCGATGGGGACTTTTCCAGCCAACAAAGCTGGTGCAGGACAAATGTGCCTGCCTGATTCAATTATCAAGGATGAGGGCACAAATACGCAGCAGCCAGCAATGGAACTTCATATTGTGTGCAGGCATCTCCAACATCTCATGCTTTACAGGAAGGCAGCAGCCTGCCATCTCCTCTTCAGAACGCACAGTACCAGGACAGATGGCACATCAGGGAACATGGGGCTTCCGCACCACTGCAGAAAGTCACCTGAGCCCAGAAACCCAAAATGCACTCATATACAGGGTTTCAAGGAAAAGGCAGAAGGGAGATGGATGCTGCAGGTGATGCACACAAGCCTCCCACAGCTTACAGAAGACATGACTTCTGTTTCCAATGTTCAGATGGGACCACGTAGCGCAATCATCTCTCACATCCCATCCTATACACACAAAAGCTGTAGGGCAAGTAGTAACATACTCTTCAACTATAGGTATGGTAACAAATAGTTTTCGTGTCTCCCATGAAGGAAAATGGCCCCTGTGAGGAAAATGGAGAAAAAGCAAGCTAAACGAAACACAGGTGAAGCTACTTCCAGTTCTTGTACAGAAATACAAGTGAACATCAGTTCCCAGCTGGAGAAAACATACCACAGGTGCAACATCAGAAAAGGGAAAAAAAAAAGGGGGCAAGAAAAAAAAAAAAAAGGCCTGGCCATGAGTCTCAGAGCACTTTGCAGAGGAGTAACAGGCCGGTTGGGCAGGCAACGGTGAGCCAAAGAACTCTACAGCCTTCACTGCAAGCGAAGGGCCCTGCCTAGCTGGGACGCACCAGTGGCTGCAGCTGCGACACTGGGTTTTAGCACCTGCCCATCGGACCCTGTCGCTTTTGTGGAGCACTGAGCACATCTCAAACGCTGAGAAAACAGAGTTCTCATCCCCGAGCCCTGCATACAGAGGAGACACCACAGGCTCCAGGTGACAGAAGAAAACAAGACAGGGACAAGATGCACAAAACAGCATGCAACTCAGTACCGTGCATTTCCAACATCCTTTCTGGAAAGTGTTTTTATCCCCACATCTATTCCTGGAAGTCCCTCCTGGAAACCACTTAATTTGAATACAAACATAGCATTCAGAGCCCAAAAGAAAAACCTATTAATCATAACTGAAAGGAAGATTTTGGCCAATTTTTCTCCTGCAAAAACCCCTTCCTTCCTTTCTCCTCCAGTTTCCAGCGTATACAGAACACTCTCCACACATTGTGTTCCCCAGAGACCTTTACCAAAATAAATAAAAAACATTCACATCACCTATTTCCTCCCCAAGAGGCATTCACAAGTTAGTTTAGCATTGGAATGAAGACACCGTATCAAGGGAAAAAATCTACAAAGAGGAAATGGTGAAAATCACCCTTTGGAAGAAGAGAGGAAAAGGAAAGGCAGGAAGCCAGCAGCTGCAGCTGAAGAAATGAGACAAGGAGCAGCTTTCCAGTCCCAACACAGAGTCTTCCCACACTTGGGCGAACTTTACATTTTTTTATCACGCTACGTAAAGATAGAAGAGTACTCACTCTACAGTAAAAGTTACATTAATTTCCCAGTGATACCAGGTAAGAAAAATTATTGATTCCTTTTAAGAAGATTAAAGCAAAAAGAGAATGGTGCTTTGACAGGACAAGTGAACAGCGGGTGTTTTCTAACCTGTGGCTCTTTGCATCCTCAATGTAATACAAAGAGCTGGAACAATCTTTCTCACTTTTTCAGTCTCTGCATCATACTTTCCAGGAAGGCAGTGTGCAAAAAGAAAGTATTTCTCAGCTGAAATTTGGCACTAGGTGCATCTCCCTCTATGGGAACTATTTCCTCCTCTCCTTGTGTTAGCATGTGTTCGATCTGCTGTTCCTATCTCTAGATTCTCTAGTGTGCCACGGGTTAACAGCACCCACATCCAACCCTCCAGCCAGAGCCAACTCGGGTTCTGCACAGTGCGTCTACCGACATCCCCACTGCCAGCCCCGGGAGCAAACACAGCGAGAGCGGGAGTACTGCACTGCCAGCAGGAGCCTTTTGGGAAGTGAAGAGGATTAAAAGGTAAAAGGCAGCTCTACCAAACAGCCAGTCTCATCACGTCACCGATCCTAAATCGGAGAGGTTGTTAGCGAGTAATCCCATGCACCTTGGACCTTGAGTTGGGAAATCAGACCATACTGCAGTCCCATACAGCCAGTCATTTCTTTAGTCCCCTGGACAACAAACCAAACTTCAGCTAGTTTACAGATTTCATACAGCCAAGTGGAGATGGCCTGGGAAGGAGGACAGGGAATAATTCATGCTTTTTGTCCATGACACCATTGAAAGCACTGTTGATATTCTGGAAGCAAAAATAAGTTATTCCAATTAATTAACTTACAATATATATTTGGCACTTGAGACTTCAAAGCCATGTAGAAAATTGGCCCTGTAACAGAGGCTGCTCATATAGGAAGTCCAAAATGCCACCGATCTGAAGTTGCGTTATGCCCAGCACAGGGCCCACCCAAAAGGTAACCCGTCTTCCCATCTTGTTCAGATTTTGTCCCCTTCCCATTTTTTCGGACTTGCCTTTTTGTCCCATGCTTTTCAGAACATGCCATGTTTTCATGACAAGAATATAGTTCTTAGTGCTGTTCTCTACCCTCAACTTCATTTTACAAAAATTGTAGGAACAAGAGAACACGAAAGAAGACATTCCTAATCGAACGCTCCAGCTTTATGGAGGCAGCCGACAGCTGGGGGCTGCAGCAGAGTCAGTGTGTGCCTAACCAGGCATCATCTCTCTCTACAATTCTAAGCACAAGTCCTATTTGCTCTGCTCAATTTATTGGCCGGTGTAGTTTCTATACAGGCTAGTATTTTTCACCTGCGTTTATTACAGCCCATTTAATAAAAAAGGAAAACTTCTATCTGTCATATTAGGAGTTGCCACTGGACTGACTGCTGCAGTGTCCAGGCAACGCAAATGCAAACATGCTCGTTAGTTTTTTCATCCTCATCATCTGAGATCCCATCTAGATAACTGTCTAGACCGTGATTATTATTAGATTTTCATGTGCAACTTGAAACAGGATTAGAATGTAAATGCCATCATTGGAATGGGCGGTATCA